GCGACAGAGGGGAGGAGGGGGGAAGGGGAACACCCCTCAAAGAACGGGGTGCGGGGGTCGCCACGAGAGGTGCCTACAGCGACGATGCTCGCCTCAGCTGCAAGCAGTTCCTTCTCGAGGAGGGCAACAGTGAGCTCAGTGGGGGAGCGAGAGAGGAAGTGGTCCCTGACTGCGCGCAGAGAGTCAGGGAGGCGGGTGACGATGTGGTAGAGAGTGATCCAGAGCGGGGGGGGGTTGCTAGTGAGAAACTCGGCAGGCATAGCAGCGCGAAAGCGGGCCTCACTAGTCTTAAGGTGGGTGATGAGGTCTGCGACAGTGTGAAAGGAGGCTAGGTCGGGGAACAGGTAGGGGAGAGTGAGGCGGCCTAGCGTGGCAGAAGCGGGTGAGGAGTAGCGGGCAACTACAGCGGTGTAGAGGTCCTTAGCAGTCTTGCACTGGCCGAAGTGCTCGCGCTCGTCTAGCGGCAGGGAGTTGCGAATAGCAAAGCGAGCGTGCGCATCACGGGTCTGCCACTGGGAACGCAGAGTGCTGTCAGCAGACGAGTCAGGGGCAGTGGCATGGCCTAGGGCGTGGTCGTACAGTGAGATATCTTCCTTGGCAGTGAGCTGTAGGAACAGGTGCAGGTCATCGAGCCAGGTTTCGAACTTCACTGGACGGCCCTCGGCATCGAAAGCTAGAACGGGAGGACTAGCCATAGTGACAGTAGCAGTAGCAGTAGTAGTAGGAATCAGGCCGCTGAAAAGGTGTGCGGAGGGTCAACTGTCCGTAGTGGCACACGAGCGGCAGTAGTAGGTAGCGTGGCAGCAGGAGCTGCAACGGCGCACTGGTGGCAGCTGCAGTGGCAGCAGTGTGCGCGGTAGGTAGCAAGTAAAAAACAGTGAGAGCGCGTGCCTTTCGGGCGGCGGCTGCAGAAGCGCACGGGCGGCAGCGGCGCACGGGGAACGGCGGTGCACGGGCAGCGGCGGCGCACGAGCAGCGGCAGCGTAGGGGCAGCGACGGCGCACGGGCAGCGGCGGCGCACAGGCAGCGGCGGCGCTCGGGAGGCAGCGGTGCGCAAGCAGCAGCGGAGGCAGCGGCGTACGAGCAGTTGCGGGCAGCGGGGCGTGCGCGAGCAGGCGACGGGCGGCTGCGGGGCGTGTGCGAGCAGGCGACGGGCGGCTGCGGGGCGTGCGCGAGCGGCTGCAGGCAACGGGCGTGCGGTACGCGAGTGGCGCTGGCGGTGCGCGGGCCGGCAGCGGGCAGCACGCAGGCCGCGCGGGTGAGGTGCGGGCTGCGTAGGTCGGTAGCGGGCGGTGCGCGGGCCGTTAGGGGGGATCGCGGGGGTCGTAAGAGGCGCGGCGGGGTCGTAAGAGGCGCTAAGGGGCGGCGCGACGGGGCCGTGAGGGGCCTCTAGGTCAAATGCGACGGGGCCGCGGGGCCTCTAGGCGGGGCTCGATCGACGGGGCCAGCGGGGCCGAAAAAAAAAAAAATTAGTAATAAAGCGCTCGAGGGCGCTACGGGGGAGGCGCTAAGAACGCGCTCCGGTAGTAGGTAGGTAGTAAGTAGGTAGGTAGGTAGGTAGGTGGGCCCTTAGGACGGTCCTAGCGAAGGACCTGCTCTGAAACCATGTCAAAAATAACAGACTGGAATGGTGAACTAGAATGGAATGTGAGTACAAATATGAAACCCTAACGCTGTGACCCCCTTATAGGCTAACCCACTACAGCCTACACAAATATAACATGTATAATGTTTGACAACGGAGTGACCTGCTGGGTGCTGGTCTACGTCGACGACCTCCTCGCCGCGAGCAGCAGCACCGCGATGCTGAAGGAGCTGAAGGAGCTGCTGGAAGCCGCCTTTGAGCTGCGCGAGATTTCGCCGGTGCAGAAGTACCTCGGGCTGGAAATCGTGCGCGACAGGCCGGCGCGGAAGCTGTGGCTGCACCAGCAGGGCTATGCCGACAAGCTGCGTAGGCGCTTCATCGACGAGGAGCAGGGCGGTCGAGTCCCGAAGACGCCGGTTTCGGTCGACGCCTACGCCGAGCTGACATTCGACGACGAGGAGGCGCAGGAGCGCGAGGAGGAGGAATACCGGCAGAAGGTTGGCTCGCTGCAGTTCGCGGCGACGACGACGAGGCCGGACATCGCGTTCGCCTGCAGCAAGCTGGGGAGCGGCCTCACGGTGAGGAGCGACCAGCATTGGCGCGAGGTCGACCGCTGCCTCGCCTACCTCGCCGACACCCGCGACACCGCCTTGGAGTTCGGCGGTGGACCAGAGTCGCTGGAGCTGATCGGCTACGTGGATGCCGACGACGCGGGCGACAAGCAGAATCGGACGAGCACGGGCGGCTACGTGTTCGTCTACGGAGGGGCCGCTGTCTCCTGGTCGAGCTCGCGCATCAAGTGCGCGACGCTCTCCTCGACCGAGTCGGAGTACGTCGCGGCCACGGATGCTGGCAAGGAGGGACGCCGACTTCGTTTCCTCCTTGCGGAATTCAAGCTGCTCGACGCTGGGAAGCCGACCATCCTCCGCGTCGACAACAAGTCGGCAATCACGGTCGCTGAGGGCTTGGGGCTGACGGGCAACCTCAAGCACATGGAGCGACGCTACGCCTGGCTGCAGCACATGGTGAGGCGCGGGAAGTTTGTGCTGAAGTACATCCCGACCACCGAGCAGCCTGCCGATTTCATGACGAAGGCGCTGCATTTTCCGGCCTTCAACCGGTGCTCTGTCGCCATCGGCCAAGTTCGTCTGGCCGACGTCGGCGACGGCGACGATGAGGTGCAGCAGTAGGTGCCGTGCCCTTCTGCACGGCTGGTGCGGTGACGGCGTGCTGTGTGTGGGGTGCACGCCGAGGATGAGTCTTCTCCGTGGAGTACTGCCGTGTGGGCTGGAGGCCCAAGCGTGAGCACGGTAGGGGAGTGTTAATGGGAATGGGGTGTTGGCCCCGCCCTCGCTTGGGCAACACCGACGACTTGGTCGGATGTACGGGTGAAGCAGCCGACCGTTCGCAGTGAAGGAGCTGCTCGACGGGCTTCGTCGAGCTGCAGGGTGTCACTGTGGAGCTCCCGTCGACTAGGGGTGCTCGACGGGCGCAACTGGTTGGCCTGGGCGATGGGTGGGCCGTCCGGGAGGTCGACGGAGCAGTCCGTCGACCTACAGCTCGACGGGAAGGCCTCTGGAGGATCCCGTCGAACTACAGCTCGACGGGAAGGCCTCTGCAGCATCCCGTCGAAGTACAGCTCGACGGGGAGGCTCGCGGGGCATCCCGTCGACCTACAATTCGACCGGGAGGTCCGCGGGGCATCCTATCGACCTGCAGCTCGACCGGGAGGTCGACGGAGCAGTTCTGGTCGACGGAAAGGGTTCTGTCGACCAGGGGGTAGCTCGACGGACGATGTGGTCGACCAGAAGCACCTGGTGGTCGACCTGAGGCACCTGGTGGTCGACCAAGAGCATCTGGTGGTTTCCAGGTCAACACGGTAACCGGCTCGACGAGTTCTGCGGAGGCAAGCGAACGTCGTCGAGGTCGCGATGACGAAGGCGACTTCGAGGTGGTATCCCGAAGTCGATGTGGCTCGTCAGTCGCAGACAATAGCCGACGGATGCACAACAAAGTAAGTCGGGCCAATCGTTTGCGCGCACCTGCTGTCTTCTACGGAGCAACGCTGGACAGCCGCACAGCTGCAGCGTTGGCACGCCGTCGACCTGCAGTGTTGGCAGGTCGCTCTTCTGCAGTGCTGGCGCGGCTCCTCTACGCAACGCTGGCAGGCGGTCGACCGAGCTGTGCTGGCGGTCGACCAGGCTAGCTGCAGGGTTGCTAGGTGCCTGATGTAGTCATTCTGTCATTGCTTGTTCAATTATTCTGTAATTCCAACTTTGCTAGTGGAAACTCTTGCCAATTTCTCCCGTGAATGTGCAAGCACTAAGCAACCAAGCAAAGCTACGATCACTCCTAGTAGTTCGTGCCAACCCCCATAGTCTAGCTCACTACCGTTGTAGAGTAAATCTCCGCACGCACAAGTCCAATGCCCTCTCATCAGATCAAACTTCCGTCCTTTCACCATCAGGTGATTCATCCATGAATGGTCTTCCTTTTGTTTCCTCCGTGTATCGCTGTGTGGTTTCACATGTTCCTGGTTGCAGGAAGTAAGTTCCACATGCCATCCGCCACCGTCACACTCCCAGGCTTCTTCACATGACCCTGCGGAGTTGATGGCACGTCATGCCACGTCATGCCGCGTCATGGCATGGCAGGTCATCCTTGCTATGGCGTTCCTGGCCTGGCATGCCCGGCATTACATGTGTAACAGTGGCATAGGATGACGTGGGATGGCATGGGATCTCGTGTGTACGGATTGGGATGGGTTGCGATGGCAGCGTATGGCATGGGATGGCATGGGACGGCATGGATTATCCTGCACCTGAGATGGGATGAAGTGCGCATGGGTTGGATTGACAAGGGGTTCTGTCACTCAGTTTCTCACCCATCCTTTTTCGCTCTATGTGATCGCGCTACCCCTGGCTGTGCTCTCCTTTCCCCCTCGTTTCCCGATTGTGTGTCCGTTCTCCCGTCGTTACCGTATCCTCCTTCTTCCCCCGTGCGCTTCCCCGCTCTCCCTGTGCTTTCTCACACCTGTCCCTATGCTGCCACCCTTTCTCCTTGTGCCATGTTCCCACGGACCAGCTGGTCCGCCCGGGCCATCAAGACGTTCGGCATGGCGGAGCTGGAGGCTCGGAAGCTCAAGTACACCGGAGCAATCTGATTACCTGCCCCACTTGCCATCCTTATCATTCTCCGTGTCCCAATTCCTGTCTTTCCCACGGACCAGCTGGTCCGGCCGGGCCATCAAGACGTTTGGCATGGCGGAGCTGGAGGCTCGCAAGAAGCTCGCAAGCTCAAGTACCTTAGAGTGGCCTCAACGTTGGTCCCACTTGATAGCAGCAATGTCCCCGCCGCCCCAACCTCACTCTCCCTCCCCACCAGCTGGTCCGCCCGGGCCATCAAGACGTTCGGCATGGCGGAGCTGGAGGCTCGGAAGCTCAAGTACCCCACCACTGGCACGGAGGCACTGCTCATGGGCATGCTGACGGAAGGTGAGTGCTTTTCATGTGTGTTGGGCGTGCTGACGGAAGGTGAGTGCTCATGGCCCCATTGTTGATGTGTATTGGTAGCACTGTCCATTGGTCATCGTGACCTAGTAGTGTGTAAATGCAAGCTCAAGTACTACACACACACTGGCACGGAGGCGCTGCTGATGGGCATGCTCACAGAAGGTGAGTGCTTTTCATGTGTGTTGGGCGTGCTGACAGAAGGTGAGTACACACAGGCTGCGTGCGAATGGCATCAAGCTGATGGACCTGCGAGTCAAGGCGGTGGAGCTGCTTGGCAAGGCCGACATGTACTACTTCAGCCCGGAGCACCCCTTTCTTCAACTTGTCTTTCCCACTCACCCCCAGGCACCAACTACGGGGCACGGTTCCTGAGGGCCAACGGCATCAAGCTGATGGACCTGCGGGTGAAGACGGTGGAGCTGCTGGGCAAGGCCGACATGTACTACTTCAGCCCGGAGCACCCGCCGCTCACTGAGCCTGCCCTGGCTGCTCTGCAGTGGGCCATCGCTAAGCACAAGGAGCTCGGTGCGTGGGGCTGTGCCTTGTGGTGATTGATTTGGTTTTATGGTGATTCCGCATGCCTGGTTTCCTGTGCTGTATGCACCTTGCCTTACCTTGCCATGCACCCTCCGCTCACTGGGCTGTCAGAATCCCAGCCACTAACCACTGGGATAAAAGGGCTTGTTTATGTAGCGGGTGAGTGCGCCCATAACCCCCCAGGCCAACGTGCCTGTAACCCTTCCCTAGGATCAATCGGGGATCACCAGTGGACCTCTGACACCCCCCCGCACTGGGATGCCCGAGGTGCACACACCGGGATTCGAACCCAAGACCTTCGCTCTGATACCATGTCAGAATCCCAGCCACTAACCACTGGGATAAAAGGGCTTGTTTATGTAGCGGGTGAGTGCGCCCATAACCCCCCAGGCCAACATGCCTGTAACCCTTCCCTAGGATCAATCGGGGATCACCAGTGGACCTCTGACATGGGCCTGCCCTGGCTGCGCTGCAGTGGGCCATCGCCAAGCACACGGAGCTCGGTGCGTTGGCTTGAGCTGTGGGCTGGGTTGTGGGTTGGGTTGTCGTGGGTTGGGCTGTGCATTGTGGTGCCCGCCCTGGCCCCGCCCTAGCTGCGCTGCAGTGGGCCATCGCCAAGCACAAGGAGCTCGGTGCGTGGGGCTGTGCCTTGTGGTGATTTATTTGCCTGTATTGTGATGCCGCATGCCTGGTTTCCTGTGCTGTATGCCCCTTACCTTACCTTGCCATGCACTCGCCGCTCACTGAGCCCGCCCTAGCTGCGCTGCAGTGGGCCATCGCCAAGCACAAGGAGCTCGGTGCGTTTCGTTGGGCTGTGTATTGGGCTGTGCGTTGCGCTGTGCGTTGGGACGTTGGGCTGCGTTGGGCTGTGCGTTGGGCTGCGCTGCGCCTTGTGTCGATCTCCTTGCTGTATGCTGCTTGCTTGCCTGGTTTCACTTGCTGCGCGCCCATGCCTTTGGGGTGAAACACCTGTTGCTGCTCACTGAGCCCGCCGCACTGCAGCTACAGTGAGCCATCGCCAAGCACAAGGAGCTGGGGGGTGCTGGGCTATGCCCTGTAACATGCTGTGGATTCCTGCCTCATGCCTTCCTCTCTTGTGCCCTCCTGCCTCCTGCCTTGTGCTTCGACTGCCTGCCTGCTCTGCTCTTCCTTGCTGCGTGCCCCTCGACTTGCCCTGCATTTGCTCCTGACTGAGCCTGCGGGGCGGGCCCTGCGCTGCAGAGGGCCATAACCAAGCGCTTCCAGCTCCTTGCCAGTGCTTTTCGTCCACTCACTCTCCAGTGCTTCGTGCCTCCCAGCCCTCACTCTGTCCGGCACAGCAGAGGCACTGACCGTTCAGCTCTAGCACCTTTTCTCATTAGACTCCCCCCATTGCCCCCCAATCCTCCCCTCCCCTTCCCCCGCCCCTCCTTCCCCCAATACCTCCGCTTTCTCCCCTTATTTTCTCCCCACCCCCTCTCTACAACACTCCCTCCGTGCTGCAACCAAGCAGGGCGGGCGGGGGAGATCTCAACGGCGCTCATCCTGCTGGGCATCTGGGAGCAGCGGGAGTCTGCCGGTCACAAGCTGCTCGCGCAGCTCAGTGAAAGCAACTCTGTTTCAAGTCGTTTTAAATCAGAGGCAGTGACCACCCAACAAGCTTTTGCACTTTTCTGATCAGATTCCCCACTCCCTCCCCCTCCCCACCCTCCGGGAAACGTCCCCAACTCCCTTCTCCACCGTGCTGCAACCAAGCAGGGCGGGCGGGGGAGATCTCAACGGCGCTTATCCTGCTGGGCATCTGGGAGCAGCGCAGTCTGCCGGCCACAAGCTGCTCGCGCAGCTCGGTGAAAGCAACTTTGTTTCAAGTCGTTTTAAAGCAGAGGCAGTGACCACCCAACAAGCTTTTGCACTTTTCTGATCAGATTCCCCACTCCCTCCCCCTCCCCACCCTCCGGGAAACGTCCCCAACTCCCTTCTCCACCGTACTGCAACCAAGCAGGGTGGGCGGGGGAGATCTCAACGGCGCTCATCCTGCTGGGCATCTGGGAGCAGCGGGAGTCTGCCGGCCACAAGCTGCTCGCGCAGCTCAGTGAAAGCAACTCTGTTTCAAGTCGTTTTAAAGCAGAGGCAGTGACCACCCAACAAGCTTTTGCACTTTTCTGATCAGATTCCCCACTCCCTCCCCCTCCCCACCCTCCGGGAAACGTCCCCAACTCCCTTCTCCACCGTGCTGCAACCAAGCAGGGCGGGCGGGGGAGATCTCAACGGCGCTCATCCTGCTGGGCATTTGGGAGCAGCGGGAGTCTGCCGGCCACAAGCTGCTCGCGCAGCTCGGCTTCCACGACGCCCTCGCCTCGCAACTCACCGCCGATGTCAGTAGTCCCCTGCTCTCGTTCGTTTCCTCCCTCCATGTTTTCTCTCTCCCCCCGGCCACAAGCTGCTCGCGCAGCTCGGCTTCCACGACGCCCTCGCCTCGCAACTCACTGCCGATGTCAGTAGCCCCCCGGCTTACACTCACTCACTCCATCCATCATACTTTCCTCCAGGCGTTTTGCCTTCCCTGCCTTTCAACCTTTGTGGCAACTCACCGCTGATGTCAGTCGCCCCCCCCTCTCACTCACTCACTCTCTCCTCTCCATTCCTCCAGGCTTCTCTCCTCCTCGCCACCCTCCTCCTCCTCCCCCTGCTTCCCCTTCTCCCCGCTGACCTTCCTCCATATCTCTCCTCCCCTTCTCCCCTCCTTACCTCCCTTCTCGACCTTGTGCCCTTTTTGTATCAATGCCCGCACATGCAACCTAATGCATTTGACCTTTCTGTTTTCCGAGTCTTGGTTTACTTAGCATCTGCGCCACAGCTGACCTGTTTTTCTTTCTATGCGTTTCTTTTGTTGGGGTTTCTTATTCGCAGCTTTCGGCGGTTGCTGCCTAAGATTCAGCTGCAATGTTAGTCTCCTACATTCCTAGTGTATCTTCTTAAAATGATTTAGTGAAACGTGTAAGTCAGTTGCAGTCTAACTATCGAGTATTCGTTACACAATTGTGGATTTCGTCACCTTTCGCACACATCACACTGGGCCTGTGGGCAAATCTGTCTGCTTGCAATCTTCCAGCAAGCGTCGAGCGGAATTTCCGCCACAGGCTGGTTATCCAACCGTTTGCTGCCAGATTTTTCATTGTCGCGGCTCGTCGTCAAACGCCCAATCAACCCACTTGCGAAAACCAGAATCACTTGCGTTGTTCGCAAATAGAAGTCGCAAATTGCGCGATAACTTTACCTTGTCCGCAATAGTTCCAGTTCTCGTTCAGGTGTCTGGTTACCCGTATTGACGGCTTCGCGGATCTTCTCTTGCCTCGAACGATGTCATGGTCCTGTTGCCAACATCAGCTACCTACCTCTAGCCTAGGACTGCCCTAAATTTGCGTGCAGGATTACAGTAACGGGCATAAGAACATCTCGCATGCGCATCACAGGAGCGACACAGTTGCGTATCTCATTTTCCTTAGACGTGCGACTGTCGTGAATCCTCTCCGCCCTCCACACTCACAATCAGAGAGCCCATCGCCTCTAGCCGTCGCCGCTGTTCGCCCTCGTGCGCCTCTTCGCACACCCATTCCGCACGGCCTGTTTGGGCGGCGCACGCCCCTTCCTCCCAGCCCTTCCGCACGTCCCTTCCGCGCGCCCCTTCCGCCCGTCGCTTCGCCTCCGCGGCTTCCGCGCATCCCATCCGCGGTTAATCGCGCGCGTCCCATCCGCTCACCCGATTGCGCGTCTCAGAGCAAACAGCGGCTGCCCCGCACCTCCTCCGTTGGTCTTAAAGATAATTTAAGCGGATTGGAATTCTTATGCGTCAAACCGATTAAAGTAGTCCCCGTAAATCGCGGCGCCATGAGCGGCGTGTCAGGGCGCGTAATCGGCTCCCTCGCGGCGGTCTAGGGACGACTGCGCTTGTCTCTCCTGCAAACATTCGGTAAAGGTACAAGATTCTTATGGGTATGTGGGTAGAAGACATGGATTTAACATGATTAGGTATGGAATGGTTCTGTATGGTAAAGTATGGTATCTATGGTATGGTATGATACAGTACGGTATGGTAAAGTATGGTATGGGACAGCACGGCACGGTATGGGACAGCACAGCACGGCATGTCATGTCATGGCATGGCATGGCATGGCATGGCATGGTATGGCATGGCATGGTATGGTATGGTATGGTAAGTGTGGTGGTGGTGTGGTAGAGGGGGTGTGGTGTGGCGGTGTGGTGTGGTAAAGCCACACCAAGAGAGCGGTATGCCATGCCATGGCATGGCATGGCCTACAGCATGCCATGTGAATCCATGCCATGGCATGGGATACCGTTTGGGTGAGGAAATGAAAAAAGGGATAGCCCTGGCTTCAGTGCGGCACAGAAAATTTCACGTCTGCCAATTATCATCACGTCACACAAACAATAAGTTGTCATGCCGCTCCATGTTATCTCTCCGGTTGAGGGGAGTGCCATGCTTACACATAAGATCGAAAGTTTGCCCATCCCATCCCACTCCATTCCATACCATCCTTGCCTTTCGAGTCGACTCAAAGGCCGCTCCACTTTTGTCCAGCACACCAGCCATATTCAGTGCCATCCCTACCTATGTGACTCACACCCTTTGCCATCCCATCCCGTCCCATCCCACTCCTTGCCACGTCAGCACAGCAGCCATGGACGTGGCCACGGCGACCAATATCCACGCGCCACTTGGCACCGCGGCAGGGGGCGCGGCCCCCGCACCAATGGCGCAGCAGTATGAGCTGGAGGTGGTGGGGGTGCCGACATATGGCGGCGCTTACACGCGATACGACATATGCGGGCACATCTTTGAGGTGTCCTCGAAATACGTGAAGCCAATTCGGCCGATAGGACGCGGGGCGTACGGCATTGTCTGGTGAGTGTGGGGAGTGGGGAGGGTGGGGGGTGTTTTATGTGTTCATTCACACCCATTCGCACCTATTCGCGCCCATCCGCACCTATCCTCCTCCATCTGTGGATACGACATCTGCGGGCATATCTTTGAGGTGTCTTCAAAATACGTGAAGTCCATTCGGCCCATTGGACGCGGGGCGTATGGCATTGTGTGGTGAGTGTGGGGAGTGGGGGGAGTAGGGATTAAGGAGTGTGTTGTCTGGTGTGTGGGGAGCGGGGTGAGTGTGGTGTGTGGTGGGTGCTGTATGGCGGTGCTTACACGCGATACAAAATCTGCGGGCATATCTTTGAGGTGTCGGCTAAATACGTGAAGCCCATTGGACGTGGGGCGTACGGCATCGTGTGGTGAGTGGGGAGTGGGGGGGTTTGGGGAGAGGGTAGTGTAGAAAGTGTTCAATGTGTGAACATCTGCATCAGTGACATCCACACATCACACAGCTCAGCGATACACATGGAGACGAGGGGTCGGGAGGGGGGGGGGGGGATTGACAATGAAGATCTCATCTGCCTTTGACATAATGAACACCCATGAACGCCCACTTATCCACACCCATCAACACCCATCCACACCCATCCACACCTATTGATCCTTGCAGCTCCGCAGTGGACATTGAAACAGAGGAGGAGCTGGCGATCAAGAAGATGTCAAACGCCTTCGACATGATGAACACCGATCTGCATCCATCCCCACCCACCGACACACATGCTCACTCATGCAGCTCCGCAGTGGACATAGAGACAGAGGAGGAGGTGGCGATCAAGAAGATCTCAAACGCCTTTGACAATCGCATCGACGCCAAGCGCACTCTCAGAGAGATCAAGCTGCTGCGACACTTCGACCACGAGAACGTAAGGCAGCTGCATGCGTCCATCCATCCATCCATCCATCCATCCATCCATCCATCCATCCATCCATCCATCCATCCATCCATCCATCCATCCATCCATCCATCCATCCATCCATCCATCCATCCATCCATCCATCCATCCATCCATCCATCCATCCATCCATCCATCCATCCATCCATCCATCCATCCATCCATCCATCCATCCATCCATCCATCCATCCACCCATCCACCCACCCACCCACCCACCCACCCATCCACCCTCCCATCCATCCATCCCCTTTATAGGTGGTCGCGCTAAGAGACGTAATCCCCCCGCCTGACCGCTCGAGCTTTAACGATGTGTATGTGGTGTACGAGCTGATGGACACGGACTTGCATCAGATCATTCAATCGGGGCAGATGCTGTCTGAAGAGCACTGCCAGGTGGGTGTTTCGTCAGGGGGTGCATCATACTCTCTGCATGCATGTTTATGTGTTGTACGAGCTGATGGTCATGGACTTGCATCAGATTATCCAATCCGGACAGATGCTGTCTGAGGAGCACTGCCAGGTGGGTGTGGGTAAGGGGTGCATCATACACTGGGTAAGGGGCACCTGGAGAGAGCAAGGGGTGTATGGGGTGTATGAGCTGATGGACACAGACTTGCACCAGATCATCCAACCAGGACAGATGCTGTCAGAGCAGCACTGGCAGGTGTGGGCGTGGGTGCATCATGCCCTGGGTAATGGGTAGCTGGAGGGCGCAGGGGGTGTAGGTCTTCTGAGCTGGGGGTGTATGTCTTTTGAGCTTGAATCTATGTGGTGAACAGGATGACGGACATGCCATTGGAAGAGCATTTGCCAGGTGGGTGGGTGGGTGGGTGCGTGACCAGGGATGCATCATACACCATGCAGGGATGCATCATACACCATGCAGGGATGCATCATACACCATGCAGGGATGCATCATACACCATGCAGGGATGCATCATACACCATGCAGGGATGCATCATACACCATGCAGGGATGCATCATACACCATGCACGGATGCATCATACACCATGCACGGATGCATCATACACCATGCAGGGATGCATCATACACCATGCACGGATGCATCATACTCCATGCACGGATGCATCATACACCATGCACGGATGCATCATACACCATGCAGGGGTATGAGTTGATGGGCACGGACATGCATCAGATCATTCAGTCGGGACAAGTGCTGCTGTCATATATTAGGCACATCCACAGCGCCAAGACTTTTGAGTCGACTCAAAAGTCGCCGCCAGTGTGCTTCCATAACGTGATTCTCAACCGCATCCATTGACAGATGCGGATGGTGCGTCATTCAACCCCCTCCAACCTTTTGCTCCCCCCTCTCCCTGCACCATCCGCCTCCCCTCCTTTCCCTTTCGGCAGTACTTTCTCTACCAGCTATTGTGAGGATTTAAGTACATCCACAGCGCCAGTGTGCTGCATCGCAGCCCTCTAACATCCTTTCCCCCCACACTCCTCTACCCTCACCCTCTCTTTCCACCACCAGTACTTTCTCTACCAGCTATTGCGAGGATTAAAGTACATCCACAGCGCAAGGGTGCCGCATTGGGACTTAAAGCCCGTGTCTGCTCCCCTTCCCCCCCACACCACCCCCCTCCCTCCTCCGCCCCTTCCACCTCCGACAGTATTTCCTCTACCAGCTATTGCGCGGGTTGAAGTACATCCACAGTGCGAGTGTTCTGCATCGCGACTTAAAGCCCTCCAACCTGCTCCTCAGTGCAAACTGTGACCTCAAGATATGCGACTTTGGCCTTGCAAGGTGCGCGTGTATGCAAGGGGGGGTTGAGGGGGTGGGTAGGATGGGTGAGTGCAGCAAGGGCTGCAGCGTAGGTAGTTAAAGCCCTTTATTCAACCAACCTGCTCAGTGCAAGCAGTGACCTCAAGATATGCGACTTTGGCCTTGCGAGGTGCGTGTGTGTGCAAGGGGGGGTTGAGTGGGTGGGTAGGATGGGAGAGTGTAGTAAGGGCTGCAGCATAGGAAGTTAAAGCCCTTCAACCAACCTTCTCAGTGCAAATTGTGACCTGGTTGGTGGCATAGGGTGTGCGTTTTGCGACTTGGTGACAGAGTATGT